TTTCTTTCTTTCTTTCTTTCTTTCTTCTTTCTTTCTCTTCTTTCTTTGATGGAATCCACTCTGTCATCTAGGCTGGAGTGCAGTGGTGCAATCTTGGCTCACTCCACCTCTGTTTCCTGGGTTCAAGCAATTCTCCTGTCTCAGCCTCTCAAATAGCTGGGATTGCAGGTGTCTGCCATCACACTTGGATAATTTTCTGCATTTTTAGCAGAGAGGGTTTTGCCAAGTTGACCAGGCTGGTCTCGAACTCCTGATCTGAGGTGATTCATCCAAGATGATGATAATTTCTAAAGGCAAATCTTCACTAGAAGAAATACAAATAATTCTCAAATTTAAAGGCAAATGATACCAGATGGAAGTATAAGACTGCAGGAAGAATGCAAACATACGGGAAATAAGTAAGCTATTTGGAAGTAATAATAATACTGTCTTTTAATATTTATAAATCTACAGTGTCAAAGCATTCAGGAAAGGCTTAAATTGTAATCTTCTCTCATTGTTCAAAAACGTTAAAGAAATATTTTTACATATATGGTAAGAAGTCAAGAATGCATAATGCAACCTCTAGTATCACTGCTAAAAGAATAGTATAAAAGCATTTCACCTAAAAAGTTAAAGAGGGCATTAAAAAGTCAGGAAAATTGTAATAAAGGATCAAAGAACAGATAAGATAAATCAAATAGCGGAAAGGTAAGAAAAACCCAAATATATCTGTAATTGCATTAAATATATATATTCATTAAATCCTCCATTCAAAAGACAAAGATAGGTTAGATCTTTTTAAAAGACCCAAATATATGCTGTTCAAAAGCAACACAGTTTATATAAAAAATAGGCTATTAAAACACTAATATAAAGACAGTGCTTGTGTCTATATTGATTTCAGGTTAACCAGATTTTAAGGCAAGAAGTATTATGAGACGTAAGTGAAACACCTTATAATGATCAAGGTCAAACAAATGGAGGACACAAGGGTACAAAGCTGTATGTGCCTAAAACAAAAACTGACAGGACCCAAAGAATACTCATGTATATTCGTAATTATAGTTAAATAATTTAATACACAACTTTCAATATCTGTAGAAAAAGCAGGCAAAAATAAACATTAGTATATGAATTTTGTAAAAACTGTATGGAAATCAATTGTGTTTCTATATCACAGCAGCAAATAATAGAAAATGAAATTAAAAATTATAAATAGATTCTTTTCCTTAATATCAAAAGTGTAAATACCTAGAGATAATATTAAATAAGCAAATGTGTAAGACCTCTAAAGTGAAAAGTATAAAAGATTGAGGAATATTAAAGAAGACAAAATAAATATTCAGGCATATTATATTTGGGAGGTAGAAGAGTTCTATTTTGAAAGTATCTATTACCGTTAAGGTGATCTCGGGCTCGCGGTCCCGGCGCCGCGGAATGCCGGACCACGGTCCGGGGTCCGACTGGACGGAGCGTAGCTCTTCTGCAGAGCCGCCCGCAGTGGCCGGGACCGAGGGCGGCGGCGGCGGATCAGCTGGACACTTATTACCAGAATTCCAAAGGTTCTGATGGAATCAAAGATGGATACAAAGTTAACTCACACATAGCTAAGCTGCAAGAGTTATGGAAAACTCCTCAAAATCAAATAATCCGCTTCCCCAAATCAATGATGGATGTATCCTTTCTCAAGCATCCAGACCTCACTGCAGGCCAGAAGCGTTATCTGTGCAGTATTGCTAAAATCTATAATGCGAACTATCTGAAGATGTTAATGAAGAGGCAGTACATGCATGTAATTCAGCGCAGCTCACAAAAGCCAGGTGTCCTCACTCATCACAGAAGCCGCCTTAGCTCTCGTTACTCACAGAAACAGCATTACCCCTCGCTACATGGCGACACCAACTGGAGGGAGAGGACTTGGGGCCCTCTGATGTTGCAGCTGCATCTGCACCTGAAACGCTCCTACAGCATTCCCTTTGGCGACCAGTGAGAAACAAAGAAGGGATAAAAACTGGGTATGCATCTAAAACAAGATATAAGTCACTGAAGATTTTTAGAAGACCAAGGAAACTGTTCATGCAACCAGTTTCTTCAAATGATTCTGAATCATACATGAGTGAAGAAAACAAGGAAGAAGATTTACTAAATAAATTTATGCAATCAATGTCAATTGAAGAACAGGGAGAACATCTGATGTTAACTTGACAGTCTCGTCTTGTACATTGAATTCGTGCCAAACGTGAGGGTAAGGGGTTGTGAGTTGTGTCCTCTGTGTTTAGGTTGATATTGTTACTCCTTAAATCATTAAGTAATTTTGTTTTGTTCAGAAATTTTTACAACAGTGTAACTGGTCTGATGTAGTTCCATGTACCAATGACATTTATTTAAGAAAATATACATGTAATATACTTGTACTTCTAGCTAGATATAATTAAAGCTTTTCTTGCTTTCAAAAAATAAAAGATGATCTCTATGTTCAACACAATGACAATCACAATTCCAATTCCTTTTTGTTTTGTTTTGGGTGTGAAATTAGATAAGTTGTTTTTAAAATTAAGATGAAAATACAAAAGATTATGAATAGCTGATTTACTATTTGTGTTAGTCCATTCTCACAGTACTTATAAAGACATATTCGAGACTGGGTAATTTACAAGGAAAAGAGGCTTAATTGACTCACAGTTCAGCATGGTTGGAAGGCCTCAGGAAACTTACAATCATGGCAGAAGGGGAAAAAAACATGTCCTCTTCACATGGTGGCAGCAAGAAATGCCCAGCAAAAGGGAGAAAAATCTATTATAATACCATTAGACCTTGTGAAAACTCACTCGCTAACAGAACAGCAGCATGGAAGTAACCTTCCCCATTATTCAATTACTTCCCACCGGATTCCCCCCATGCTATGTGGGAATTATGGGAATTACAATTCCAGACACAGGCAGACCATATCACTATCAGAGAAGAAAACTGTTGGAAATCTTCCTTATAATGTTTAAAGACTTAACGGAAATCCATAGCTAATAAAGGCATTAGTATGGTGTTGATAGCACAAAATAGACCTACAGAACAGAAAAGAGTCCGGAACCAAACCCATGTGTTTGTGGTCAGTTAATTTATATGAAATGTACCACCAGAATGTAAGAGGAAAAGGTTGCCTTTTCAATAGATGATACTGAGTCAATTAGATATTTATAATTTTATTTTTATCTTTTTACATGGACAAGAACAATGTCTGTTGGATTATACAAGTAAATTCAATCAAAAAATTAAAATTTCTAAAAGCCACGGAGGATAATGTCTTTTGAAGTAAGCAAAAATATGTGAACTACATCACAAAGAAAGTGATCACCATAAAAATGAAAGAATTGCATTAGACCACATTAAAGTTTTAAAATTTAGGTAATTAGATGGCACCATTAAGACAGTGAAAAGCCAAACCAGAGATTTGGAATCATGTAATTATATGTCAATATATATGATTTAAAAGATTTAGAAAGTTATTTATTTTTTATTTTGTGGGGTACACAGTAGGTATATATAATTATGGGGTAAATGAGATATTTTGATATAGGCATATAATGTGTAACAATCGCATCAAGGTAAATGGGGCATCTATCACTTCAAGCATTTGTCTTTTCTTTATGTTACAAACTATTGTAATTTTAGTCGCTCTGTTTTGCTATAAAGTACTAGATAATATGCATTATATGTAGCTATATTTTTTTTAACCCATTAACCATCTTCAACCCCCACTCGTACTACGTTTCCCAGTCTCTTATAACCATAATCCTACTCTTTATCTTCATGAATTCAATTGTTAAAATTTGTTTAGCTCCCACAAATAAGTGAGAATATGTGAAGTTTGTCTTTCTGTGGCTGGCTTATTTTACTTAACATAATTACTTCCAGTTCATCATGTTGTTGCAAATAACAGGATCTCATTCTTTTTTATGGCTGCATAGTACTCCATTGTGTATATGTACCACATATTCTTCACCCATTCATCTGTTGATGGACACTTAGGTTGCTTCCAAATCTTGGATAATGTGAATAGTGCTGCAGTAAATATGAGCATGCATGCAGCCATTTCTTCAATTTACTGATTTCTTCTGAGTTTATAACTAGCAGGGGGATTGCAAGATCATATGGTAGTCCTAGTTTTAGTTTTTTTGAGGAACCTTCAAACTGTTCTCCATAGTGTTTTTACTTTCCTACCAACAGTGTAAAAGGGTTCCCTTTTCTCTGTGTCATTGCTAGCCTTTATTTGTTCCTGTCTTTTGAATAAAACCCATATTAACTGGGATTAGATGATATCTCATTGTAGTTTTCATTTGCATTTCTCTGATAATCAGTGATGTTGAGCACCTTTTCATATACCTTTTTGCCATTTGTCTTCTTTTGAGAAATGTTTATTCAGATCCTTGACCATTTTAAAATTGAATTTATGAGATTTTTCTTACAGTTATTTGATCTCCTTATATATTATTCTTATTAGACCCTTGACAGATGAGTAGTTTGCAAATATTTCCCCCCCTTCAGTGAGTTTTCTCTTCACTTTATTTATTGTTTCCTTTGCTGTTTAGAGGCCTTTCAACTTGACATAATCTCATTTGTTCATTTTTGCTTTAATTACCTGTGCTTGAGAGGTGCTACTCAATAAATATCTCCCCAGTCCAATGTCCTGAAGAGTTTCCCCTAATGTTTTCTTGTAGTAGTTTCTAGTTTCAGATCTTAAACCTAAGTTCTTAATCCATTTTAATTTTATTTTTTATATGGCAAGAGATGGGGTCTAGTTTCATCTTTCTGCATATGAATATCCAGTTTTCCCAGCATCACTTATTGAAGAGCCTGTCCTTTCTATAATGTATATTCTTAGCACCTTTGTTGAAAATGAGTTCACTGTGGATGTATGGATTTGGGTCTGGGTTTGCTATTCTGTTGCATTGATCTATGTGTCTGTTTTTATGCCAGTATCATGGTGTTTTGATTATTATACTTCTGTAGTATAATTTGAAATCAGGTAACGTGATGCCTCCAATTTTGTTTTATTTGCTCAGAATAGCTTTGTCTATTCTGGGGACATTTGTGGTCCCAAGTAAGTTTTAGGATTATTTTCTATATTTTTGTGAAAATGTCATTGGTATTTTGATAGAAATTGCATTGAACTATAGATTGCTTTGAGTAGTATGGACATTTTAACATTAGTGATTCTTCTAATCCACAAATCATAGACTATCATTCCATTTTTTTGTGTCCTCTTCAATTTCTTGCATCAATGTTTAATAGTTTTTGTTGTAGAGATCTTTCACATCTTTGGTTAAGTTTATTCCTAGGTGTTGTATTTTATTTGTAGCTTTTGTAAATGAGATTATTTTCTTATTTCTTTTATGGATTGTTTGCTATTAGAAAATAGAAATGCTAGTAATTTTTGTATGTTGATGTGGTATCCTGCAACTCTACCACATTTTTTCATCAATTCTAACAGGTTTTTGGTGGAGTCTTTTGTTCTTTTCCAATATAAGATTATATCTGCCAGGTGTGGTGGCTTATGCCTGTAATCCAGCACTTTGGCAGGCCAAGGTGGGTGGATCACTTGAGGTCAGGAGTCCGAGAGTAGCCTGCTCAACATGGCGAACCCTTGTCTCTACTAAAAATACAAAAAGTTAGCACAGCATGGTGGCACATGCCTGTAATCCCAGCTACTGGGGGGGTTGAGGCAGAAGAATCACTTGAACCCAGGAGGTGGAGGTTGCAGTGAGCCAAGATTTCACCTCTGCACTCCAGCCTGTGAGACACAATGAGATCCTGTCTCAAAAAAAAAGAAAGATTATATCATCTGCAAAGAAGGATAATTTGACTTCTTTTTCAATTTTCCTGTCCTGTATTTCTTTATGTTATCTGATTTTTCTAGCTAGAACTTCCAGTACATATAGAATAACAGTAGTAAAAGTGGACATTCTTGTCATACTCCATATCTTAGAAAAAAGGCTTTCAGTTTTTCTCCATTCAACATGATATGTTGGTCTGTTATATATCATTTATTATGTTGCGGCACGTTTCTTCATACCCAGGTTTTTTGAGGATTTTTATCATGGAAGGTGGCTGAATTTTATCAAATACTTCTTCAGTATTAATTAAAATGATCATATTTTTCCATTGATTCTGTTGCTATGATGTAGTACATTGACTGATTTGTATATGTTGAACCATCTTTGCTTCCCTGAGTTATATCCAACTTGGTCATAATGAATAATCTTTTTTTCTCTTCTTCTTTTCTTTCCTTCTTTCTTTTTTTTTTTTCTTTTTCTTTCTTTCTTTTTTTTTTGTTAAATGATCTGTTTAATATGTCATTGAATTTGGTTTGCTAGTATTCTGTTGAGAGTTTTGCATCAACGTTCATCAGAAATATTGGCCTGCAGTTGTCATTTTTTTGTTGTGTCTTTGTCTTGCTTGGTATCAGGGTAATGCTGGCCTTATAGAATACATGTCAAGTATTTTCCTGTCCTCTATTTTGTTTCAATTAATTTGAGTAGAATTGGTATTTGTTCATTTTTATTTTGTTTTAATTATTTTTCTGGAATGGGTCTTCCTCTGTCTCCCAGGCTATAGTATAGTGGTGTAATTAGAGTTAACTGCAGCCTACATTCCAGGTTCAAATGATCCTTCTGCTCAACTTTCAAACTAGCTGGGAGTACTAAAGTGCACCACCACACCCAGCCACTTTTAAAATTTTTTGTAGAGATGAGGTCTCTCTGTGTTTTCATACTAGTATTGAACGTCTGGGCTCAAGAATCCTCCTGCTTGGACTCCCAACAAATGTCATCCAGTGTGCCCCACCTTGTCCTTTAAATGTTTGGTAGAATTCAGCAGTGAAACCACTGGCTCCTGGGCTTTTCTTCACTGGAAGGCTTGTCATCATAGCTTCCATCTCATTACTTTTATTGGTCTGTTCAGGTTTTAGATTTCTTCATGGTAAAATCTTGGTAGGTTGTATGGACCTAGAAATTTATTTATTTCTTCTAGGTTTTCCAATTTACATTTCTGCAATGTCAATTGTAATGTCTCACTTTTCATCTCTGATTTTATTTATTTGGTTCTTCTCTCTTTTTTTCTTAGTTACTCAAGCTAAAACTTTGTTGATTTATCTTTTCAAAAAATCAAATTTTTGTTTCACTAATGTCTTTAAATTTTTTTCATTTCAATTTTGTTTATTTCTGCTTTGATCTTTATTTCATCTCATCTACTGATTTTGATTTGTTTGCTCCTGTTTTCTAGTTCTTTTAGGTGCATTATTAGGGTGGTATTTAAAGTTTTTCAACTTTTTTGAAGAAAGTGCTTATTGCAATAAACTTTCCCCTTAGTAAAACCTCTGCTGTATCCCATAGGTTTCAGAATGCTGTGTTTCCATTTTCATTTGTTTCAAGAAATTTTTAAATTAGCTTCTTAATTTCTTCCTT